TGACATAGAAGTATATTCATTTTTCTCCTGAAAAGCTGCTGGTGGATTCATATCCACAGGGGGATACAGCCTTTGTATTAACAAAGAAATCCCCAATAGACTACACTACCAGAGATCCCACATCATTCTTAAAAGTCAATGTAGTGTTCATGTAGCTGTGGTGTTGGAGAAGAGCACTGAACATTCTATGGACTACCAAGATAATGAACAGATATGTCTTGGAAAGGATGCTGCTGGAATGTTCTCTGGAGGCAAGAATGATGATGCTTCACCTCACATACTTTGCACACATTGCTAGGAAGGGCTACTACATGATGCTGGGAAAGGTGGAGGGTCAGTGATGGAAAAGAAGACCCTTAACCAGGTGGATTGACACGGTGACTGCTACAGTGGGCTCTTGTGTGTCAGGAAGTGTGAGGATGGCACAGGATAGAAAGAACAAGGTTCAGATCTTTTGTTCATTGGGTCACTATGAGCTGTCCTTGACGCGACAGCACCTAACAACCACCACCATTCCAGTTTGACCTGTTGTAATACTGGGCCCTAATAGAATGAGTAAAAAACCATGGAAGAAAATGAAAATTCTTAAAAAAGTTGTTAGTTATTTTTTACTAGACCACTTAAGACTAGAGGGCTTCTTGTGACCATCCCCATGAAATAAAATCTTTAAATTTTGAGTGGGCACTATCCTCTGAAGGCACCTCTTAGCTAAATAATAAGTTAACACATAGAATAAAGTGTATTATCCATGAGAACAGTACTCCATTAAGAAAACTGTGATTCTAAAGGGTCAATGATGAGAAGATAAGGGGACAGGAAACTAAAGTACTAGAAGCAGAACAACCAGCTCACTATTAAAGAGATTGTCTACACATTATGAAAAATGAAACTAACATCATTGAATAATTTCTGTAGAAGTTGCTAAGCGAGAGCTTAAGATTTTAGTGAGAACTTTAACAGGGTGAGGGGGAAACAAAGTCCCCCTAAAACCTTGTAAAATGTTTTTATGAAAAGTCATTTTTCTAATTCTGTACTTCCCTAAACCACATGCATCTGGAAACTCGATGAACTTGGAGAAACGACGATAGTTATGGAACGGCATTAAGTCTTTTGTTCATAGAGTCATTGAGTCATGCTTGACTTGACAGCAGTCAACAATAGTGCTTCCCAACGTCTGTCTTCTATATGAGGTTGCCCCTTCATTTTCCTGAAACATAGCTCCCATCACTCAGTTTTGAGGATGCCTATGGAAGGAGATAGGAAAACCTTCATGACAATAATATTTAGTGACTTATGAGTAGGATTTTGATACATTCTTAGATGTTGAGAGTAGGAGCAGAATCAGTGAGAGAAAGGGGCAGTCAAAGAAATAAAGGAAAACCACCATTGTGGAATGTATGTCTCTGAACCATTGGGTTTCCAAGGTGGTTTATCTTTTTGGGAGGAGATTACTCATCTTTGTTCCTTATAAAGCAAATTATGGATTTGAACCACTGGCCTGGCCTTCAGTAGCATGATATGTAATGCACTTAAAAAAAAACTCAGCATTTGGTGAAAATTGCAGGGTCAGAGAGAGGAAGAGTCAACAAAATGAATTGACACAGGAACTGTACTATTGGGTTGGAGCACGGTAGAGCTCTGAGGATAGTGCAGGGAATGCCAAGGTTTAGATCTGATTGTAGGGTCTCTGTGAGTCATAGTTGACTTGAAGGCACTTAACAGTAACCACTGCTCCCCAGAGCTTTTTGTTATGTTGCTGGTTATATGCCTTTGAGTTGCCTGTAACTCAGCAAACCCAAGTACAGTGTCTCTAAAGTGTAGCATTGCATCTCATCCTGGATCTTCCTCTCCTGGGCTGTCCCTCCACACCTCCAAGCATGATGTCCTTCTCCAGGGACTAGTCCCTCCTGGCCACATGCCCAAAGTATATGAGACAGAGTTTCACAATCCTTGCTTCCAAGAAGCAGCCTAGTTTTACCCTCTCCAGGATAACCCTGTTTGTTCTCCTGGCTGTCCATGGTATGTTCGATACTCTTCTCCAGCATCACAAATCAAAGACATCAATTCTGTCATCTTTGGTCACTGTCCAGCTTTCTGATGAATAGCAAGTAATTGAATAGATCATGTTTTGAGTCAGGCACACTTTCGTCTCCAGAGTGACATTGTTGCGCTTTGGGAGGTACCTAACAGCAACTTTCCCCAGAGTATTTCGTCTTTTGATTTCCTTACTGCTGGTGTTAAGAGTGTTGATTGTGAGCCGAGAAAGCAGCAATTGTTAACAGCCTTAATCTATTCTCCATCTATCATGGTGCTGCCAATTTAGACATACTCAGGTTCCCTCAAAATCCAAAACCATAAAACTACTGAGATGAAGACTCCCAATTAGTAGCATAAATCCGTCTTTGGATGTTTTATCTGTTAAAATCAAACAAGGCATACACATAAGATACCCTCAAAAGATTTGGGAAATCTCATTATTATTGTAGAAAGCAGACAGCAAATAATAGATTTGTGGTGACTCTCCAACCCTTGTATATATTCTACTTTATATTATGGGAGACTCACTCAACATCTCTCAAGGCACTTGTTTATCCTTATTAAAAACTGGTGTTCATTCTTCAGTCAGTGAACAGGGTATACCAAGACTTAGGTTTCAGCTGGTGTCTGCTGATTCAGGTGCATGGCTCTCCTTGCCATTTCAGGTTATTGGCTGGTGCAGTATGGCGGCGTATATGCTCTTCTCTCTTTCTCCGTATCTTTGCTTGTCTGCTTGTTACTGACTAGTCTAGCCTCAGCCAGCAGCCTCTGGGTAGCCTGGGGCTGCCCCATCTCTAGGCTTTCATCAGGACAGTTCTCAAAGCTGAAACGGCTGTGGGAGCCTGTGTCCTCTGCAGACTGGCTCCCTCGGTGCACAGCAGGCCTCTATGGAGCTCAGCCAGGACTTTGGCAGCTGCCTTAGCTCCACAAGGCTGCCTGCTCTGCCAAGTGCTGTTTTGCCTGCACACTGCTTCTGATCTCTCCCACTCAGCTTGCTGTGCTCCAACGTTTCTCACAGTCTTCAGTGTTACTGACCCAGTGTTCAAGCCCTTTAGCAGTGTCACAGCTGGCTTTTCCTGGATCTAGGAATTTCTGAGCCTAGGGAATCTTGAGCCCAGAGGATTTGCTCCCCTCAAAGCTTTTGTTGGTTAGAAGACCCTCCAAACCTCCGTGGGCTTGGCCATTTATAAAGAAACTTTTTCGGCTTCTTTGTTTCAGAATTACAGCCCAACACGTTGTCTTAATTTGGGACCAGAGAAGCCATGTATGGGAACCTATTGTGCCCCATTAAAAATGTATCTGAAGTCTTCTGATGTTCGGGTGTGTGAAGCCTTGGTATATTATTTTAGTCATATCTCTTTTCAGTCCAGATTGTGGCTCCTCTTGTTTCTACACTTAAAGTGTTTGGGTGTGGGTTTGATTTTTGTTTGTTTGTTTGTTTGTTTTTTAAATTTCTGTTGATTCTCAGTCATAGCAACTATCCGTAGCATCCACACTCCCTTACCTGGGGCTCTGAGTAGCAGCCGACTCAGCTAATGCTCTGGTGTGTTTTCAGAGACAGTAAATTGCGTGGAAGCAGATTGCTCATCTTTGTCATGTGGAGCAGCTGGTGGATTTGAACTGCCTTGCCTTTGCATTGGCAGCACAATTCCTAATTAAGTCCCTAGAGCTCTCCGCTTAGGAGTATAGCTTAATGGAATAGTGATGCTTTGCATACATGAGGTCCCAGGTTTTATTCTTGTCACCTTCACAGATGTTTTTTGAAAGGAGCAGTGATTAAACATTTACTTGACTGAACAGTCAACGGTTCAAACCTACCAGTCAACTCTAAGGAAGAAAGATACCACATTCTGCTTCTATAAAAGGTCACAACCTTTGAAGCTCCAGGGGCCAGTTCTGAACTCTCCTATAAAGTTGCTATGAGTCAATAAGCATCTAAACCCATTTACCCAGAGTGGTAATCACTCATTCATTTACTTGATTAAACTTAAAGTTACTAAAATGTCACTATGTCTGTAAAAACACCTCTGATTCTTTTTGAGCAGAGTCAAGAATTTCCATTTTGGTTTTCATGTCTCTTGATTTGTACTCAATTGTAAATTTTTTTTCTGTCATTATATATTCTAGTGTTTTTTCATTTGGAGTTTCCTTGAATTTCTAAATCTTGAATTTCTCTTCCAGCACATCACGTAATAAACATTCTTTCCTTAGTTATGCTTGAAATTATTGGATAAGTTCTCGTGTTAGTTTTTTAGGAGGGTCTAGGAAAATGAACACTGAGAAAAAATTTGAGGCTCAGTGTGGCTTTCTTTGAGCAAAACTGTTTTTTGTCTGTGAATTGCAGACAGCCTAATTCTTCTGTCCCTGCTTTTTTTGTTAAGAATCAGTAGGGGTAAGGTGGGGTGGTGATGTAAGTATTATAATGTAAAGTGATTCAGTTGTTGGGTTAAAATTATGATTGAGAATCTTAGTGCTATGGCTCAGTGACCCAGTCAGCAGTACAGCGTTTCAGTGCATCTTTGTTGTTGACTTTAAATGGCAGCAGTAATTCTGCAGTGGTTCACTTACAGTACCTGGTATGGCCAGCAGATGCCTGCAGACACCATGTAATGATTGTGGCCAGACTGTTTTAAGAAAAAAATTTAAAAAGTGCTGCTGCTGATTTTTAAAACACTATATTGCTGCTGTTCTAGTACAATATTTTTTTTTTTGTTTATTCCTTGCCTTTTAATTTCAGATGAAGAGAAAATTGAAAAAAAAACTTACTTAAAAGGGGGACAATTACTATTTTCCTTTTTGAGATATTAAGCCGTTGTGTGAGCATATATGCTATTTTCATGTTATTTTTATTGAAGTTATAAAGGAGGAACAATAGTCAATATTTTTGCGATTCTTCTTTTGAGTACAATCAAGAGTATGCTATTTAATGCCTCTTTTCTGTCTTTTCCTTGAAACAATTATAGGAGATGTATTCAAAAGGAATAATCCCCCTCTCAGCTGTATCTACAGTGCGGGTTCAAGGAGACAATAAATTTGAAGTTGTTACAACGCAAAGAACTTTTGTTTTTAGAGTAGAGAAAGAAGGTAAGATTGTTTCTTTATCCCTCTAACCACTCTCAGGCACATTAACATCTATAGTATCAGTCGATTAATAATTAAGCTAGAAATACAAAGAAGCCTTTAAATAATAGGGAGCTTTGATGGACTAGTGGATAAGGAATTGTGCTGCCAACTCAAGAGATGAGCTGTTTGAAGCCACCAGCTAGACTGTGGGAGAAAGACGGGTGGTTTCCTCTCATGGCATTTTGCAGCCTCTGAAAACCTGCTGGAGGGTCAGCTGTGAATCAATTCTGACTTGATGGCAATGAATTTAAATGTTTAAATAAACTTGCAGTTTAAGTTTTCCAGTTTTCCAATTCCATTCTGTTAACATATGAGTTGGCAGCCCAGGCCATGGAGTCCTCTAACAACCCTCATTGACAGTGGAAGTGGCCCACAGTGATCTCTGTGAAGCTGACTCCTGCCTCCCTCTCCCACTAAGGAACAAGGGAGTTAACAGCAGAACGCTTAGCCGTGCTGCTACCAGGGCTCCTAACTAACAGAAATAAACCCATAAGTTACACGGTGTGTTTACTTATCCTTTGAGGAGACAGGTATTTGTGAGAATCTCCTTCTCTACTCTGGGGAAACAGCAGTGAAAAAAAGTATACAAAATCTATGTCTTCAAAGAGATCACATTTTTAGGTATTTGATGATAGAATAGAGATATTTCTGGGGTGTTGTGTTTTTTTTTCCTTCTCTTATTGGGCCATTGATTTGATATGTGTTTTGTTTTATGTATGGTGAGTTTTAGGTGAACACCTAGGCCCAGTATTTATTTTCGTAAAGGTTTAGGAGTATTTTAAAGTATTTACTCTTTTTACTTTCATTTTCTATTCTGTGTTACTTTATGGTGACATTTGATCTAAGGACAGCTCGTGGTATCTACAGGTCTCTAATGGTGTGCAGAAAAAAATTTTCCTAACACTTGATGGGGAAAAGGGTATTGAAACAGGGAAGTTGAAAGTTTTCCATTGTCTAATCTCATAAATTATCATTAACATTTCATTGTTGTAAGTTGCACTAGCTTTAAATCATACATGGTGCTATCTTCACTAATTAGAGAATCAGAACTTTGATTTTTAAACGTTTATTTGGATATGAAGTGGAACTCCACATTATTTTTAAAGGCACCTTGTGTGCTTGTTTGTTTGAATAATAATGTTAAGTAATGCTTATTAAAACCTTGATAAAAACCATTGCCAAGCTAGCTGCTGCTTCATCCATCCTGACTCATGAAGTCTCCTCGTGAATCAGGGGAGATATGTGTCCCATAGGATTTTCTCTTTTTGTTTTTAAAGCATTTGTGCCAAAACATCTATTCACAGGAGCTGATTTTTCATAGATTACTAGGCCTTTCACCTGAAGTGCTTCCCAGTAGGTATGAACTGGCAACCTTTTGGTTACTAGCTGAGCTCTTAACCGTCTGGCAGCTCAAGGATCCCCACCGAATACTTGCCAAGTGTCATCTACTCTGCTAGGTGCTTTATTTTTACAGTGACACGGTGAAGTAGGTAATCAAATTATTTATTCTATTTTACAGATAGATGTAATCATAACCAGAGAGAAACCACCAGAATATTAACTATTATGCGAGAATACTACAGTCTCCATCAGTGCATATCACCTAAAAGACATTCCATAAATTGCATATGTTACTAGAAAGTATTTCTTATTGCTTAGGTTAATAGGGAAATGAATCATTCCATTTCTGTTCACACTGGAGCAGCATTTTCACACTAGATCCCTACCCATCCAGGCTGTCAACTTAGTGATTTCTTTCCAGACTAAAAAAGAAAACGAATAAATAAAATAGAGTAAGAATATGAAAATGCCTTGCTTATAGTACGCATTGCAAAATATGCTATGGTAGGCATTGCACATATGTAATGTGAAAAGGGTTTCTTTATTGGCTTGCTGTTAAAGAATATTGAGAGCTAAAGCCTTTGAGCAGGCAAACGGGAGCTTGAAGTCTAATCTGACCTCGGGCTTGTATTTGTAAATAAAGCCTTCGTGGGTCCCAGCCACGCATTCATTTGGATCTTCTCTATTGCTGTTTTCATGACTTAGGAGTGGAGTTGATTAGTAGGAGCAGAGACCATATGGACAGCAAAACCGTAATCATTTATGATTTGGCCCTTAATAGGAAACGTTGGCCAGATCCCTGTTACACAGAATTTTGTATGAAATTGCTTATGTGAGAAAGCAGTTTGTTTGTGGATTATTGCCCGAAATTCCTAAAGTTGTCCACAACTGTGGTACTTAATATAGTTTACTGTTATTATGTGCCATTAACTGTGATTCATAGCAAACCGTCCTGGAACAGCAGATCGGGACCGTATCCTATCCTGAGTCATCTTCATGACCTAGGACATACTTCAAGCTCATTGTTACAGTCATTGTAGGAGACTGTCTGGTTGAAGGTCTTCCAGTCCTTGTTAGACCCTCCACCTGGCCCAGCAGGAAATCCTTTTCCAAGGTCTAGCCCCTCCTGACAGCATGCCAAGTATGCGAGCTGAGATTTCGCCATCCTCGCCTCTGAGGAACATCCTGGTTGCACTTCCTTCAGGACAGACTCTCCACCCCCCGACCCCCCGAGTTCATGAGCTAGTCAGTACTCTTCTTTTCCAGCACCACAGTGCAAAGACCTCAGTTCTTCTGATGTCATCTGTCTTTATTGTCCAGCTTTCAGATGCACAGGAAGCAATTGAAAATACCCTAGCTTGGATCAGCAGCTTCCTGCTCTCTGAACTTCCATCCTTGTTCTTTAGCACTGTGGACATGCTCTTGGATATGTTCTTTTGGTTATGTTTTTCAGCACTTAAATTTAAAACCGTGTTTTTTTCTCTTCCTGTGGTTCTTTGAAACACACCATATTTCTCTCAGTTGGCTGGCCTGGTATTCCCCCCTTATGCTTCCGTTTCCACTGTGTGGCATATGTGAAATTCCTCGCAAAGTGAATTTCAGGTCCCCGACTGCCTGTATTTTAAGTTTAAAAAAAAACCCACAAAAAAAACCCCAAAACCAAAGCAGCTGCCATCCAGTCAGTTCTGACTCATGGTGGTAAAGCCTCCAACTTGTGTGAAAATCTGTGGAGCCATATTTACTTGCTACAGTCAAAAGTTAAACAGACACATTTTATTTGAATAGAATCGATCAGCCCACACATGCTGAAAAGCAACATGCTTGTCATTGACCATTTATGAACTCAGTCCTCATGGGATTACTGAATACATTATTTTGAAAATCACTTTAGTTAGTTACAGTTCCCACAATTGAAATCCTAAGTTTACTGTCTGTATAAGTATGTGAAAAGTTTTTTAGATTTTCTTTTTTCTTTTAGATCTCTGTTTCTTCATTTCTGAAACAAGAGTGATGTCTCCTTGATAGCACTGTATGTGCGTGCTTATGTGTCTGTACTTAGTGTGGATCCTTAACTAAGATACTAAATATCTTTCATTTAGGGATCCTTCTCTCCTGTATGAAATTAGTTGACTATTAATTTTTTTAATTTGGTGGAAACTTAGAACCATTGTGGTTTAAAAAAAATACTTCATGGAATTTTAAGAAAATTAGCATTTACCATTATCTAAACAAGAAGTGACAGGCATATCTCTGGTCGGTAATGTGTAAAGAGAGCTCCAACTGGTCTTTGGGCTACTATTGCAGTTCTCTTAGGACCATAGCTCTAGACCTAGCTGCGTAATCCACAAGTATTACAGTGCAACAAGTTTTCAAAGACTTCCCATTGCTGAGAATGAACGAGACGGAAATAATCACTTTAAAAATATTTCATAAGTAGAAGAATGTGTTCAATTTCTCTTATCCTCAAGTAGAACCACTTTGATCTTTTAGATCTTAACAGCTGACCTGCCTGTGTCTATTCCCAGATAGCAGCTGTGGTCATCCAAGAAGATGTTTCCTCTTGCTGATGATTTTTGTCCATGGCCAGCTCTCATCATCAGTAAAGACCCAAGAATTTTGAGGGACCATTCTCATTTTTTTAGGAACAATTTTAGTATTGATTCTCAATTGCAGATCTTCGATGTTCTCTCTCTGGCCACCTTACAGTTTCAAAATCCATTGCCATTGAATTGGAACTGGCTCTTGGTTGACATTCCATTGGATTTCCAAAGAAGTAAATCATGTGAGGGAAAATTGTTCATCTTTCTCCCATAAAGTTGCTGGTGGATTTGAACCACCAGAGAGACTCAGCCTTTGGGTGAGCAGCTTAATTCCATATGAACTAGACCGTCAGATCTCCTCTAGTAAATACTAAACCATTGAGAGATGAAAAAGACTGCCTTTCTCTCAGGTCTGTGATTTTTGAATGGCAACATGCAGCCCCCTAGTGGTATCTATAAGAGGGCAAGGATTTTTTCTTTTTTTCTTAAGAAGGCAGGGTTGTGTGTTGTTTTTTTGTTTGTTTGTTTTTTGGGTTTTTTTTTTGTTGTTGTTCTTGTTGTTTTCCTTAAAATAACTCCTCTTTTAACAGTTCCACTGCTCTCACTTCAGAGTAAATGACTACTGCTTTCTGGGTTATTGCCATAACCTCCCTTGATCCACTGTGGGTACTTTTTCAGTACAGCTATTGGTGTGACACTAAGAAAGATCCTATGAGTCTGAGGCTGCAGATTGCCTGGGAGTAGATTGCTCGAATTTCTCCTGCAGAACCACTGGTTGACTTGAGCCTCCAGAGAAGCAGTGCCTTTGGGTCAACGATACAGCTTGCATGTGAGAATGGCTTATGCCAGGGCAAGGTTCTGATTTATTCATACAGTTCCTTTGAGTTGTAGTTGACTCAGCAACTCAATAGCAGTAACATATTTCTTGAAGAAACTCAAGTGGCCTAGTCCGTAGGGTGTTAAACTTCGCTAACCGAAAGACTATCTCCAGTGGTTTAAATCTGACGATTCCACGAACTTAAAATGGGCTCTCCCATTGAAGAGTTATGAGTTGGAATCTACTTGAAGATAGTGAATTTT